GCATCTTCAGGCAATCCAAGAACCAGCATATAAAGTGTTCCTCTTGAGACAGAGTTCTTCAGGATAGCAAGCATTTGGGGGCTGATCAAAAGGGAGCAAATTGGGGAATTTGCTCCATGACCACAAATAAAATAATTCAAATTCTTGAGAAATCCCCACTGGAGATAATTCTCCAGAGAATAAAGCAGAGCCTGTAGCTGGTTCATTTCTCAGGGAACAGATCTTTGCAGCCAGAAGCTGTGAGGGTTGTTAATGAACCTCTAAGAGCCACAGTGGGTATTACTGACATGACAAGGGGTGGATGGGAGTCCCACAGGCTCCAGGGAGGATGTGCTGCTGACCAGAGCGTATCCCCTCTGCTGCCTCACCAGCACTTCTCACCTCCCACCCAGCACTTCAGAACTCAGCATAGCCTTAAAGGCTGGACCAGAACTCAAATTTCAGGGCCTAGGGTGGCCTTTTTAGAGCCCAACTCTGTGCTCACCTCCTCATGGTTCTTCTTCAGATAAGCCAGCTCCTCCTTCAGGTTCTCAATCTGCATCTCCAGGTCGGCTCTGGACAGGGTCAGCTCATCCAGCACCCGGCGCAGGCCGTTGATGTCGGACTCCACGCTCATGCGCAGAGCCTGCTCCGACTCAAACCTGGGGACACACACAGAGCAAAGCTGCACGAGCTCCTGCCAGCTGGGCACACAGCACCTGGGCTTGCTGTTTGCTGCCTCCACACTGCTCTTGGCATTGTGGCAGTACTACACGGCCCCACTGACAACTTTCCTAGGGGAAATGCTGAGGAAAATGGAGGAAAACTGATGATAAAGTGTCGGCCTGAGTCTGTAACATCACCCTGCTCCTGACACCACCAGGCCTTGGTGCTGACCCTGGGCTCTGTGGAGCTGCACACATACATTAAGGACACAGCAAGGCACAGGGCAAGGTCTTTGCACAGGAAAGGCTATGCCAGAGATTAACAAACTACAGGAATAAAATAGTGAGTTTGGATGAAAGCAACACAACCCCTGGGTGCCTGTAAGACTGAGATAACCATCTGCTTTGGAAATTGTAGCCTCATTTTGAAGGCTTTGCTTCCACATTGCCTTTCTGGGGTTTGGATGGGATTTTGTTCTCATTTCATCAAACTTCCCTGCACACTTTGCTCCATTTTTTTCCAGGAAATGTGTCTTACTTGGTCCTGAAGTCATCTGCTGTCAGCCTGGCATTGTCAATCTGCAGCAGGAGGTTGGAATTGTCAACTGTGGCCACCAACACCTGGGCAGTGAAAGATAAAGAGTGTCAGGAATTCCTCCTGGCTGAGTGCTGGGACAGGAACAACACTTCTGGGGAAGTTTGGCATTTCCTTAGCAGAAGTGTGTCTGGAATCAGGACAAGTGAGATGCAGCTGACACTGACTGTGAGAAGGGCTGGTTACTCCATGACCTCCCTTTCCAAAAGTCCCTCAGTAAGTGTTTCAAAAGGCCACATAAGATGTGTGAGATCTGATGGTGGCCTTCATTCCTATCCTTCAGGGCAGGTGCTGTTTGTGGAAAGGTCAGAGGGACCAGTGGGGTGTCTGTGCTTGGCACACCTTGTTCTGGGATGGATTTATTTTGTTGGCAGCAGAAATGGAACAAAAGGTAGTGAGCAGGTGCCTACAGATTCTTATTTTCATATTACCAAAGCAGGAGCAAATAACCCACACTGAGAGGAGATTCAAGTCAGAGTTTAGGAGAACTCTGTTGAGGAGGGGGGGAAAAAAATGAGCTCCGTGCATCCTTTGCCAGCACTCCTGCAGCTCCAGCTGTCCGCAGCTTCCAGAATTGCTAAGGGCAATTAATACATGGGAGATAAAAGAGAACAATGTAAACTCGAGCATTTCCTCCAAAATGGGATGCTGGGAGTCAAATGAAAGTGAGAGAAATCCCCACGCCCAAGCTGCCTGGGCTGAGGGCTTTGCACCAGTCCCAGCCCTGGGGCAGCAACTGCCAAAAGAGGCAAAAAACTCGTTATTGGTCAGTTCCATCTTTTTCTCTTTATCATCTAAATCTCCTCAACAGGAGGTGCTGAAACAAGTTTGCAAATTCTTTGCCTGAATGTTTTCAGACATGACATCAGTATTTCACAGCTTGCCCACAGCTGCAAATTTCCCTGCACCTTAATTTTAAACTCCCAAGAACACACATGATCAGTGCAGACTTGTCTGTTTTCTTCATTTTTGTGTTACATCCTCTTAGATCTGTTCCTGCCAGTGAAAGCTGCCACTTGTCCAGCTCAGGAGGATGTAACCAAAAGCTGACATTGAGACATCTCTAATTTCCAGCCCGGCACTCTACACATGCCACTGGGACACTTTTTATGACATAATTAGTGCTGACTAATTACAGAGGTAACAGTCATTGTTTCTGCTTCCTCTCTGACACATCCCCTGTGTTAATCCCAGCATCCTACCTTGTTCCTGAGCTCCTCGATAGTCCTGTAGTAGGGGCTGTAGTCACGGTCAGGACCAGGTCCCTGCTTCTTGTACCACTCCCTGATCTTCACCTCCAGGTCGGTGTTGGCCTCCTCCAGGGCTCGCACCTTGTCCAGGTAGGTGGCCAGGCGGTCGTTGAGGTTCTGCATGGTCTCCTTCTCCCCGGCCGGCAGGATGCCATCACCGCCTCCAAAGCCTCCTCCAAAGCCTCCTCCAAAGCCGGCCCCAAAGCCGGCCCCAAAGCCGGCCCCATAGCTGCCCCCAAAGCCCCCGCCGAGGGTCCCTCCTGCGCTGCTGCAGTAGCTGCCCCCAAAGCCGCTGCCGAAGCCCGAGACCATGCGGGAGGACACGGAGTAGCTGCCAGAGCCCCCGTGCACGCTGGGGGCCCTATAGCCTCCTCCCCCAACACGCACGGAGGAGAGCCTACTGGAGCCCCCCCCCAGGCCGCCGAAGCCCTTGAGGGAGGTGGAGGAGGAGAACTGCCTGACAGTGGTGCTCATGCTGGAGCTGCAATGGAGAGAGGCGGCTCGGCAGAGCAGCAGCAGCAGCAGCAGCAGCGAGTGCTCGCTCCCCTGCCTCGGGGCCCTTTATAGCCCGGCCAGGAGGCGTTGCCGGCGCCTTTCGACACCCCTGACAGCCAGAGCCAAATTCCAGAATCATCATTTTTCTCTCCTTGATTTCACATCTTTTGTCACATCCCACCAGCAACTCTCACATGGGACCTTCTTCCGCTTCCATTCCCAGCAGCTGGTGCCATCCAGGTCCCTGCTCAGGGCACTCCCAGTGCCCGTTCCAGCTCCACCCGCTGCTCCCTCATGGAGTAACACAAGTGAATCCTCTGTCATCCGCCAAGTCACTCACAAGTATCATTGCAAAAATCTACAAATCTATTTATTTGCCTTTTTGAGAAGTCTAAATCCAAGCAAAGCCGCTGACTTAGGAGCTCTGCACATCCATAACCTTTATTTGGGCCAAGCCAAAGCCAGATGGAAACTTTCCCGTCACGACCTTTATCACAGGACAAGCACAGACCTGGCAGGATTTGTGTACTGATACAGGACTTGGCAGAAATCATATAGCTCAAAAGAGAATAAACTCCATCAATTTCTGCTTATGTACCAGCCTGGGCTGAATCTCCCTACAGAGACTGGAAAGTCCCTACTCTGGTGGGGTTTCACACAGTTTAAAGGGCAGATGAGTAATGTTTCCCAGCAGTACCTGCTTTGCTCCATCACCTTTCCCAAAATCCCACAGAAACTGCTTGTGACTTCTAAAAAATGTGTAGAAGCTAAAAAATCCTGTGCCACATTTTCTGCTTTCTCAACATTGAGAAGGTTTAATGCTTAAACATTTTAAATCAGAGGAGAGGGAATGAAACTCTCTCAGACACCCACAGCCAGCGCAGGTTTCTTGCAATTGCAGATGGGAAGTGAAGGATCAATCCTTATCAATGGGAAGAGAAGGATAAATCCTTATCAGTAGGAAGAGTACAATCAATCCTGATCAGTGCTTGTGCTAAAGGCTTTTTCCTACAGATTTGCAGCTGAAGAAAGCAATGCAGATGATAACTCAGCATCACCTCTGTCAAAAGTGCTGATGGGCAAAGCCCAGCACATCCAGCACTGGGGTGAGGACCCTGCAAACACCGGGGCTCTGAGCACACCCAGAGGGGAGGGACAGTGTCTGCCCCGAGCTACTGAAGGACTGAGCAGGATGCTTACAGTAACATAGCTGGACAGGTATTGCTGTGAAAAAAGCAGCAAAGAAGCAGGAAGTGTGGCACTGCAGTGTTTTATTCTTTCTTGAGAAAAAAGCCCTTCACTGATGTGATGCCAGCTCTTTTTGTGCGCAGTGGAAAATCACACACCCAGCCCGGCCTGCCTGGCTCCAGCCACGGCATTCTCAATAAAAGAAGTTATTTTGCTTTTTGCAGAGGTGCCTGTGAGGTAGTGAAGGAGTTATAGGGATTAGGAACCCTTTTGTGTGTTCCCTCATGTTGTGATCTCCTTCCTCCCCAGCCCCCTCGGGCTGTTTTCACATTATAATGCACTAACTGATTTTGGAGGTGCTCAGATGTTCCCAGAGCCTCACCCTCGGTAATTCATGGTGCCTCCTTTCTTTCATGTTCCCCGAAGGACACAATAACAACAAGGCTTTATCTTCCTCCTGTTAGATCTCAGGACTTCACAGCAGTCACGCTCCCCTTAGCAGCTCCAGGAGCGTGGGGCGACTTTCTGGGCAGCCACCAAGGAAACAACAAGAGACTCTGGATCCTCTCATTCGAGGGCTCTGCTCTCTGGGCAGCACTGCCTCACATCCATGGGCTTCAGATTTGGAATTTTGACTCCCCAGGCTGCAAAAACCGGGAGTTTGGAATGCACACATTGCCCATCCCTCAGAGAGCTGTGGAAGGAGGGGACCTGGGCACAACCCAGCACTGGCAAAGGGCAGAGTGAGCAGAGGACAGTGCTCAGCTTCCAGCACCATCCTGGGGCAACCTGGCAGGGCAAAGATCAGATGTTCCTGGCCCATTTCCCTCTGCAGTGGGGGGTACAGGATTACCCAACAGCCGTCGTGTGAGAGCTGTGCTCCAGAGCCATCCCAGGCCACCCCTGCATCCAGCTCTTCCAAATGCACTCACTTTGCTCATGTTTGCTCCAGCAAACACCCTCCTGCTCCAGGCAATTCCCACATTGGCCCTGAGCCTCCCACGTGGGCTAAATCCTGTGCTGTGAGGTCTGACCCCCCTCAGGTCACACTCACATTTTAGGCCACTACAAGTCAGCCTGAAGGTGACAACTGCCCTAACACGAGGCAAAGCCCTTCCACAGCCCAGGGGCAGGGGACACCTGGCCTTACAGCTTTTCTTTCTGTATTATCATAACCCCAGCCCAGGTTTCAGTTCTTTTACCATGTGGCAGACAGACAGCCTTGAGATTGTCCTGCAATATCAGCTTTTTCCTGGTCTTTTCTGACCAATGCTCTTGCTGGTCAGCTGCTGTCCCAGCCCCTGTCTGAGCTCCTGAGCATCCACCCCACACCAGCCCCACTCTGACATCAGGAACCCTCAGCACAGAGCTCCCCTGTGCTGGCTGCTGATGGGACATCAGGATTCAGAGGAGCAGCACTGCTTCAGCTATTTCGTGTTACCAGAAGAATTCAATCTCCCAGGCTTTCCTGAAGCACTCACCCACAACAAATTCCCTTGAGATAAAAGGAAAAAAGAACACATCATAATTCTTGGGAGATGGTATCGGAGTCTGTTCCAGCAAGAAGCACGCTGGAGATGCTATCTGTGCCTCGTGTGCTGCCAGGAGAGCAAAGAACTGAACTCCTTGGTTTGCATAGGAGGGGAGGTGACATTGCCTGTTGGGGTGACCACGCTGCACACGCAGTGCCCAGAGTGGGGAGAGCTGCTGTGGAACGGGCATGGTCAGTGTGTTGCATTTGCCTCAAACAACACCACCTAATTGTGCTTTTAATGTCATGAATAAGAGCTAATTAGGAGTCATTGCATTTCCCCTGTGGGCCAGCTTCTCCCGAGTGCCTTCTGCAGCAATTCCCGGCTCAGTGGGAACTCACTGAGGGTTGCAGGCCTGGGAAAGGAGTCTCCTGTGTGTGAGGAATGGCAGGAACAGGCTCTACCCTTGCTGACGGATTTGCTCTGAAAGTCTGAACAACACAAAATAGGTAACAAATATATCAAGGTGTGGAGTGATACATGATGTCTTTGTTTCTATCTCAGCTGTCAATTCTTTACCATGTGCCAAGATATGTCCTGGCACCCCCCCACAGTATTTGGAAAAAGCCATCCCAGATCCTATTACCATGAAAGGAAGCTGTGGTTGTGTGTGCAATGGAAACTCCCTCTGGGCAGCCCAGGGCACATTGCCACCAGCCAGTGAGCCGAGACTCAGCTGCCTGAGCTGCAGGGTGGGGGTGATGTCACCCCATCTAATTCCCTCCTGCTCACACCAAGAGACTGAGAGATGGACAGCACAGCCCGGCCCAGCCACTGCAGAGGGGAGAAGGCAGCAACAGGGGCAGCCAGGTGAAGGGAAGGACAAGGGGAGTGACTCTGTGTTGTCCCTTCCCAGACAATTTGTTCCCTCCAAACTGGAGCAGGGAAGCCAGACATTGCTGTGCCAGTGGGACCTTCCAGCTGCCCCATTGGCGGCCCCATATCAGGGCCACTCTGGGCTACTGACTCCTCTCCTCTCCTCTCCTCTCCTCTCCTCTCCTTGAGTCTCCTTGAGTCTCCTCGAGTCTCCTCGAGTCTCCTCTCCTCGAGTCTCCTCGAGTCTCCTCGAGTCTCCTCTCCTCTCCTCCTATGTGAACAGGGTGATGTTGCTCCATTTGGCCCAGGTCCTGAGTGGTTTGCAGAGCATCAGGTGAGGTCCTGGTCCTGTGTCATTGATTGTTCATGAGCCACTTCCACCCCCACCATGCTGGGGCTCAGACCTGCTCCCCAGCAGAGACCTGCTCTGCCTGTTTTGGCTCAGCGTGTGCCAAGGAGATCCCCTCACAGAGAGGTTCCCAAGGAATCAACACTGCTGACACAGCCAGTGCAAAGCTCCCCTCTTCATCCAAGTGGCCAGGCAGTGTGGGGGGATGGGGTTCTCTCTGCTGTATTCAGGGATCATGGGCACATCTGGCACGAGATGATCTTTCCACAGTTATTGAATGTCTTCCCCCCAGTCCCACTGCAGCTGTTCCTCCTCTTGGCCACCCAGGCACTGTGACAGCCCCGTGCACTGCCAGCCCACCCCAGGCTGAGCACGGCCTCTCTGCTGGCACATCTTAGCCAGGAATATACTGAACAAACTGTGATCACACCAGTCCTGTCTCCAAGGGCTGGCTCAGCCCTCCTGCCTCTGCCTGGGGATGAGAGACTCATCCCAGTAAGCTCAGCACTGAGCAGTTTGGCTCCCTGCAGGCAGTGACATCCTAACTCATCCACCCCAGCCTGGGCTCAGGCAAGTGACAGAGTGCAGGAGCACAGACCAGAGCTGGGCATTCCCTTGTCCAGAGCCCAAGGGACAAATGTTCCAATGCTGTGTGGGACCAAGGCTCTCCCTTTGAATCTCCCCGAGCTGCAGTCAGGGGTGTGACCAGAGTCTCTCTGGTGGGCAGAAGGACAGATGGACACACCTCAGGGCTTGTTTTACTCAGACAGAAGAATATTTTTATGTCTGAGCAGAGCCAAAGTCCCAAGCCACAGGAATTGCTTGAGCTCTAGCTCCATGGCAAACTCCAACCTTTGGAGTTTCCCACGTTAATTTTTCAGCATCTGTCTTCTAGGTAGCAGCAGTTCTTGCATTTTCTCATGTCTCATTCCTCGGTGTGGCAATACGATCACACCCTGTCTGTTCATTCCTCTCCCCTCACTGAGCACGGCACAGCTGGCAGGGAGTCACACAAACTTTCTGCTGACTGTGGGCAACAAACAGTGGCTCCCACATTCATCCTGCACCCACACCCGCTGTGCCCCCGGGGCAAGGTCTTCAGCCAGATGGGAATCCCGGCTTGGGACACCCGTGACGTTGGTGGTGGGGTGAGGCAGCTACCAGCA